ACAGACCAGTTACGATATCACAGAGCTTTTTTAAAATATTTGAGTATGTCATCCCTCAAAAACGTAGTGGCGTATCTCAAAAAATGTAAAATTAAGATATGTCACATTCTGACCAAAATTTACATTCTCTATTGAATAGACGTTGTGGCGTTAACCAAACCTTTATAGTTCTGCGAACATCCCATTATTTCTTGCTTGTCGTATCACAGTTTGGTAAATGTTATTCATCACGAGAAGAAACGTATGTCGAATCACGTCTATTCGTGATGATATTAATATAAAAACAGGAACTGACTTATCTCATTTGTGCGAGTTACGATTTAATTCAGCAAGTAAGCAAATTGTTTTCCTTTGACTCCAAATGGGTTTTATTACGCTGTTGTACAGGTGACAGCATATCTAATGCTATATCACATGCTGGATACCCCTTTCTACTGCTAACTGCCTTCAAATTGACCAAGCGTCAAAATCCATGCGATGTAATTCCCTTACAGTAGAATTCAATGATTCCTACGGTTTTGAAAATTGTCCAGAGACTTGGGAATATCTTACAAAGCAGAGATGATGATATTAAATGGAGTGACACAATGGAGATCAAAGTAATTTAAGCTGAACCAATTCTTTAGGTCTGTTCCAGAAACGATCACAAACCAGTCACTGACACCAGGATTCTGCGCAGTAGATTATTGGGGGGTCGTCAAATTATCTACTGCGCAGAATCCTGGTATCAGTGACTGGTTTGTGATCGTTGTTGAAACATACCTATTATTTATCAAAATTAGTCATCTTCAAAGATATTATCGCTTAATAAACCTTAGACGATATCAGCTAAATTTAGAGACTGTCCAGCTACATTTTTGAAATCTTACACAAAACAAGATATGCAAGAAAAAGTATATGGACCTAATCGTCCTAACTCAAGGAAGAATCCCTATGTCAAAGTAGTGAAACAAAAGAATTACTTTCATAAGTCACTTCCTCATAATGATGTTATGATGTGTTAGGTATGGGGTATTAATACAACTTCGTCTTATAAGATCTATTGTGTCCCCTTCTATCGCCTGTCCATCGAAGAAGTAATCTATAGCGACCCATCAATCCTATCTTCCTAAGAAAGCGTATCTGGAGTGGCTTTAAGTTAGGTAGTTCGCCCACTTCTATTTCATATGCACCTAAATAAAGCTCCCTTGGATTCTTGAGTGCAACGTATTCGGTCAGAATATAAAAGAAGATTCGTTTTCCTCCTCAAAGAATCTCCACTCACTATCTTCTACTACTCTTATTTTGTTAAGGTATCTCTTGAGTCGGCGTTGCCCAGTAAGGATCCCTGGATCCCAATGCAGGCAAATACAGGCTTTCGATGTTTTCTGTTTATATTCACCCAGAAATATCTTAGTCTGCCTAGCCACAAGAGATTGTTCTAATAATTGGTTCTTTTACTACTCAATTCCTCCTAATATTGCGTTTGAGCCCCTTTCCTTGTAAAACTATCATTGTTATGTCTCAGGACTCCAGTGATAGTAACTATATTTTCCTTGCCTAGTTATTTCAGTTTTTCTGAGCATCTCCAGACCTTGTAAGAGCTCGGCGCTTTGATGACTGATTGGCTATCATACATGTTGATAATCTCTTATCTGCGGAAGTTTCTTTCGATGTTGGATTGGATACACTTTTTATTGATGTAAATTTCCATCTGGAAGATGCTTGGGTATTTCAGCGTGCCTGTTTCTAGGCCTATTTACTCCTATTCCAGTTCCTTCTTTGACTACATTTAGAGACTATCCAACTGCATTGTTTAAATATTAAACCAAACAAGATAAGCAAGAAAAAGTATATGGACATAATCATCCTAACTCAAGGAAAAATACCAGTTATGAAAGTAGTGAAGCACAAGAATTTTTATGAGTCACTTCCTCATAATGATAATGATGATGATTGAGTTATTTTGGGATACATTATTTGTTTATTGTTATTTTATGTTTTTCCTTTTGTTTTTACGAATTTTTCGTTGTTTTCATAAATAATGTTGTTTTTTTTCGAGTTCGCACCTTTTTGTTACCTAATTCGTAATCAACCATAGCGCGTAAGTAGTCAGTGACCCTTTGAGGTAAAAGAAATATCACAAAGTGATGTATCTCATTCAAATTAATCTGAGCTAAGCAACCGTGAAAACATTAGCTCACATATATTGACTAAGCCTGCGTTATTCATCTATAAAGAAAGAATTACAACAGTTGCTCTACTTATCACTCTATAAGACTTACAAGGTCACTCTTAAACTTTAAATGCCTCTACTGAAAAACAAGAAAATATGAGATACACCACTACATGTTTTAAGGCACGCTGTATTCCTCAGCAGATTTATAACATTTTTAAATAACTTTCAGGCTCCCAGTAATAACCAACATGGCTTCGGATCTTCCATCTCTACTACTGATACAACTACTTTGTTTTCCTTATAGGAAAAAAAATAATGATGGGAATTAATACCCTGCTATGATTTTTGTGATCTTAACAGAGCATTTAACAGATTAGAGAACATCATTTAGGTTTCATTTTGTATCAATAAAATCCACCAGTAAACATCAATTTTTATCCAGACCTCTTGTCGGTACAGATGAGTGTACCACAGGGAGCATTTTTAGGTCCAATGCTATTCCTCCTATATATTAACCATATTGAATCTGTTATACCAAGAAATTTGTCTACAATAATGGATATTGAAGTTATCCAACGAGACCAAATCACCTTCGTTATTTGTTCCTGGCCAGGGCAAAAGTGACCTAGTGTGCGTCGAATTATATGTATAACAAATTACCTCAAGTTATTAGACAATTTAAAATTTATCTTAAAAACGTGCTGTTCCTTTTTTTGCATGTTTAACCACTCATCACCCATAAGTTTATATGATATTAGGTCATATATCTGAACATCGAACATATACCTATATCAGTAGCATCTAAACATGTTCCTTATATAACATTATATTAGTTAAAATGACTTAAGAATAATGCATTTTACAACTGACAGATGACGATAAGGGGTAAAGCAATTTTCTTAAACATAAATTAATGTGTTTTTTGATCCTCAATTCATTATCTACTTGATTACAGTTTATTTAATCGTTGTTTTCTTTAATTGCAGTTTGCCTTTCAACCATCTTTTTATGTTTTACAGAAATAATACGATTTTTATGAATTGATTTGTAAAAAGTGTAATTTAAACATTTCTATAAGAGCACTAAGATCTAGGTTAATTAAATTTTCTGCAAAGTTGTGTATCGTTGGCATATAAATGACTATAGCAGTACCGTAAACGCGAGGTTATAGTATAATGATGAACACTAAAAAGTATTGGTCCTATAACAGGCCCCTGTGGTATACCATAACAATTCTAGTATTTAGAAGATTGAACCAGTTTAGCTTCTATATATTGAAGTCTGATTTCAAAATAATGTCTAATTGGACAAATACCAATGTTAGCAAATCCAATCAAATTTAAAATAGTATACAATAATTCATGATTATTGGTGGCAAAACTTTTAGGAAAATCTAGAGCAGTACATTTACCAGAATCAATGTATATAGATATTATTGGTTTGTTGGCAAAATTGAGTATTGAACTAAATGACATATAATTTGTTTATTCATTATTTTTCCCAAAATTTTTGATAAACATGGTAAAATACTAATTGGGCACAATTCACTATAATCTAAAATATCAATTTTTTAGGTAATGGTGTAAGTCTTGCAATTTTCTAACCTTTGAAACAATAATTGTCTAGCAGTCAAGAATTTACGATATTAATTATCGCCGGTAAAATTCAAGAAGAACATAAAATTAACATTTCTAAATTAATTAAGTCAGTTCAAGTAGAAAGTATTTTTATTTCAAATAAACATTCTTTAACTTCATCAATAGCGATCGTTGTGAAATAAAATAGTTTAGAGGAGGTTGTTTTGATTGTTTTATAATAATGTTATAAATGAATGATTTTGCCAAGAGAATTGCATTAAAACAAATATTCATTAATATAGGTTTATTAATGAATTCAAGTAATTTTAATTTTTTTTATTTCTTTATTATGTTTAACTGATAAAGTCTGGCGCAAAATTTTAAATAAATCATTTTTTCATTGTTTGTGCCCATGTATAATGTTTATTTATGATAAATAAAATGATATTTATGAATAAGTTTTCTGACAACCTACTTTTTGTGAACTATTTACTTGCAGTCAGTGATTTTAATTTCAATTGGTATTAACTGTATTTCTTACTACATGTGAAGTTTTGACTGTGATTGGTTTATTAATTTATTTATTATCATTAAGTTGAGTTCGTACAATACAAATTCCTTTTAATTTAAAATATTTTTTCAGTTGGTTGACGAGAATTAAACCTTAATATTCAGCGACATGGTTCTGAAAAAAACAGTTTTTTGTTTCGAGACATTTGTACTAATATATTGAATTATTTAAAGGTTCAAATACAATCAAAAACCGTAAACTTGATAAAAATTTAATGGTTGTGACAATGCAATACAAATATAAATAACAAATTAACAAATACTGAAATCAAAGTAATCGACATAATTCGTCAATGGTTCGGTGAAGATCGGGACTAACTTTTTAAACTATTTTGCTACTGTAAGCGTATTTATATTTTAGATAAGTAAAAGTTAACATGATAAATATTTAAGGTTTTGTGTTTATTAAATTAGTCTTAGACATATTATTTATTCGTCGTAGGCATACAGGTGCTTAAGTTAAGTTAACAGTTTAATAGGGGTTATTAAAAAACTTTTTACTTGTGACAGAAATAAATGTTTAGAAATTTTTATTTAATACAATTGATTTATTTTTTAATAATTAAAAAATTGACTATACCAATCGTTTTCTTTTCAAGCAAATAATTTATTTCTCTCTATTTTTTCCGTATCTTTAATATATTTAGTAAATAAACATTTAATATAAATAATTAAATTGTATACTAATAAAATACCTTGAAATGCCGCTTCAAATTGTAGTTTATCGAGTTCATTGTCGACTACGTTGCATTTAACCAAAATCCATAGCCCCACCAGCCCCACCAGGGCCCCCCAGCCGCTACGTACACTCATGTCCCAAGCACTTCAAAGGGCCTGCATGATAAATGCCGACCCTCGTCCCGTCACAGGCCCTCGAGACCCTTAAACCGTTTTACTAACACATTATACGCGCACTGTCACACAATTATTAGAAATTATTAATGGAGTCATCAACTGTTGAATGCACTACCACCATAGGGTTGTTATTCTACAGTGTCACACACGCATTACACTATGGGGGGTTCAAACTGGCCCTCTGTCAAGTAGGAAAGGTGGAAATACTGTACTTGCACGTTGTGTTCGTTCGTTGCCGGACTGACGGTGGTCGATAACTTCTGGCGAAACGCAATCGAACCGACGGTGGCGCCATCGACGGCGCGACGGGGAGTTGGGAATCGGGAACGGAGTTGGTAGAGTGGTCGCGCCATCTCGAAGGGAAGTTGGGAGAATTCGGGTTGGAAAATCGGAAGTATTCTGTTCGCGGACGAGGGTTTTCTACAAGTTAGATTGGTGCAACAATCAAATAAAAATCCCAATCTCAAATAAATTTAATTTTAACCAATTAGTCATAATGAGATGCATTATAGTGACACTAAAAATAATAAAGGATCTAATATGAATCACTAGTTGTGATTGGCATACAGAGATCGATTTTGATTAGATATTTGATCTATTACCCAGACAACACACCAAATCCCAGAGATATCCACAGAATATCTTTTGTGGATATCCAATATATCCACAGGATATCAGAAATATTCCGTAGATTTAATATGGATATCCAAATGTCCGTCTGTATCCAGAATATAGAAGATGGATATCCAGCTAAATATCTAATGGGTATCTTCCAGAAAATACAAGAAATCCCAGAGATTGGAGGTACATAGTTTATTTTTATATGTAATTGTTTAGAATTTTAGAATTTATTATTGACAAAATATAAATACAATAATTACAGTAAAGTTTGAAAACATTTAACATTTGACAAGGAGCCCTAGAATAAGCATCTTGCCTAGGCTGTGTAGCCTGTGTTGCTATTGTGCTCATTCTAGGTCCCCTTTTTTAAATTGTATTATAATATATAATATAATATAAATGGTAAGCATAAAAAAAAATAAACAAAAATTGGAATAATAATGAAGATGATGTATTGGGATATCCACATAATATATTTTGGGGATATTCAATATATCCAATATGGATATCCAACCAAATGTCCGTCTATATCCCAGGATATAGAAGATATTCGGCTATTCAGCAACATATTTTATCTTTAGTAGAGGTTCATAAGTAACCAATGATTATTGAATAACGTCGAAAGAAAATAGCAGAGATAAAAAATATTACATATTATAGTACCAAAAAAAATACATGTGCGGCGGTGGAACACCATATAAATACGGGACATGAGTTTGACTACTCGGAGATAAAAATTTTAGGAATAGAAAACAAATACAAGAATAGGTTATTTCTGGAAATGTACTACATTAATAAAACTAAAAATACTATTAATTATAAATCTGACACAAACCAACTAAGCAACATTTATTGTAATATTCTAAATAAAATTTAAGTATCACTCTGTACAATATAAAAATCATTTAGTTTTATCTCACCATAATTATTTCTAGTCTACACTTTTTATTTTTAATTTTATCAACTTTTAACAAGTCCACTGTCCAAAAGTTGTTTAAGTGTAATGTTGTTTTTATTTAAAATTTTATTCGATTGACTCAAATCCTGTAAGTAGTAATTTTAAATTATTTTTAGTATATTGTTTCATTTAAAAATCTTGTAGTTCGCTCCTGATGAAGCTATTAAACAATGGCGAAATATTGAGCAAGTAAGGAAAAGAGTTTTATTTCTTAGGACCGCAAACCTGATATTATCTTCACTTATAAATATTTTTCGGTCGAAAAAACTATCTCCTTTTTTATATATATATTTTGTTGTCACTCTCAAAACGAAAAAGCTTTTAACTTATTTTTTTTTGTAAAAAAAATAAATGCTCCTCTAGGTAAAAATTAAATATATTTTCAAAAAGTAACTCCAGAGGGGTACGATTTGAGCCTTTACCTGTACTTATATAATTTATCTTGCAGTAAAAATAAAAAATAAACCGTAAAATTGGTGTACTATATATATATTATATATGTCGATCTTAGTATTACAGAAATGATATGAAATTTATAACCTAAAATTATTCATACAGAATTTTGTTGCCTACAAACACCGAGCTATTTTGAAATATATAATATATTGATTATGTAAGTAACTTGAACATTCCAAGCCATATTAATTTAATGTAAATACGCAATATATGAGTTCCGTCTTAATGAGAATATGATGGGAAGAATTTATTGTAGTTTAAATAGTTGAATATTAAAATATTCAAAGCTAGAACTTTGAGTTGTCTTGTGCCATAATTTTCAGGTAATGATTTTTTTTATTTATTATTCCGCTTCCTAATGTAACCATGTTTTTTACCATGGGGTGCTTATAATTATATTTTTTATTCAGAACTCATTTAAACAGTAGAAAATTTCAACATACAACAGTATTTCGAGGAAAATAAGGCACGAAATCTCTAAAAATAACTTTATTCACAGTCAACATTCAACAACTAACAATCATAGATTTATTATTAAATAAAAAATAAAATAAGGCATAAGTAAAAACATTACATAAGTACAAAAAGTTTAAAAATCGAAAAATTAACATTTCATTATTTACAAAAAAATATATAAAAACAAATAGTAAAAGACCTACATTTGATATAAATAAAAATATACGCGACAACATACAGAAATATTTTTTACGTCACTGATAAAAATTCCTGGATACTGCCTCGATAGCGCAAATACTGTCTAATTTAAACTTTTTACATTGATTAAATAAAAATCTTATAAACGGCAGTATATTTTTTACTAGATGTTCCAATTAATCCTATCCTTAATTCAAACGAAAACTTTCTTCTACAATACAGATTATATAATCAGTAAATATATAATACGTTTCAATCAAACCAATCCACAATTCAAAAATTACAGAAAAAACATACTTAGTTTTGCCACATCCAGCGTATTAACCGGATCTGTCACTGTCGCATTTTTATTTAATCCTATCCTTTCAACATTAATCCCCCAACAAAATATAGAAAATAGCTGCTAAATTTATACTGTTTTCATTTAAAAAATTTAGAATTAATTTAAACACCTTATTCTTTAATGAGTTACAATTAATGTGAAAAGTACTAAGGTTTGATTTTGAAATTATTTTAATTATATTCACAGGTAATTGGATTATTTTTTTTACCTTCTATAATATAAAAAATAAATAAAATCATATACGCGTATCATTATTAAAAATTGTTTTAAATAATTACAACTTGAACTTTGGAATAAATAAAATCTTTGAAGAAAAATCAATAGAACTTGAAAATAGTTTTGCTTGAGTTAAAAAACTACTATCTCAACTAAATTACCAAGGGTAGTCGTCAAAACTATTCTTAAAAAAAAATTAAAATTTTCCATGACATCACCAATTTATAGTTTTCAAACCACCTATCTTTGATAAACTGGCACCTTCTGTTTCTATTAGTCTTCTCTGGGTACAGGTTTTTCTATTAATTATTATTATTAATAATAAAGAAAGTCTTTTTAATTAGTTCGATGTCGCAAATGGCCACTTGTCTTTAATCGGTGCGAAAACTGTAATGAGGATAAGTCCTAGTACTAGCACCACTACTATCACAATGTATATTCCCAAAATGAATTTCCTTCCTGTTGAAAACTGAAATAAAACATATTAACATTAATATCGGTATTAACGTAAAGGTGTCAAGTATGGAGTTAACTTTGAGTAATTATATTTTATAAAAATTAGTCAGACAAGCATTTTTTTTATTATTTAGTTCAAGGTAAGTTTAACATAAAATTAAAAATGTTGACCTGTCAAATTTAATGTTTACAAAGTTAAGAATCTAGAATTTATAACAAACCTTAAGCCAACAAATATCTGTTGAATACCAAAAAGTAGTTCACATTATAGAAAAAAATTATTCCTAATATTTAAAGGGTGTGTTCCATTGAATTTACGGTACAACCAAATTTGGAATAAAATACATTTACTAATATTACTTACTCTGGAGTCCATGCTTCTATCGTTATAAGCAGAATTCCGTCCTGATCCTCCCAAATCCTTCATGGGGAATGACGAGACCCTACTGTCTCCTGATTTTTCGGACATGCAGTACATAACCTAAGACAAACACAATAATTATTATTATTTAACTTTAAACTAGTAAATACTGAAGAAATCCTGTCAACAACTGATATTCAATAATTTAATACTGATCCCTTTTTATGGAATTCGAAGAAACACGGGATTTCATAACTATAAACGTTATACCAAGAAATGACAATAGTGATTAAATGAGGTATTGTTCCAAAAGTTTATTTCAGCGTACTTTAAAAAACGGAGAGATTCAACGCCGTGAGTGGTTAATTTATTCAGAAACTAAAGGATCTGTATTTTGTGTTCCATGCTTATTATTTTGTAAAAGTGGTGAAATGAATCCTTTTACTGGTGAAGGATTTCGTGACTGGAAAAACTCAAGAGCACGTATCGAAGCTCATGAAAATTCTGATTTTCACAAAACTAACGTTAATCATTTTAAAACTCGAGCATTAGTTTACGGGCGTGTTGATCAACGTCTAATAAAATCACTAGCAATAAGAGGGTTGCCATTTCGAGGAAATTCAGAACGAATAGGTGATCCACATAATGGGAATTTGGGAACAGTAGAGATTCTTGCTGAATTTGATCCATTTTTATCTGAACATTGTAATGCGCACCCTGGTAGTGGAAATATGTTGCATTTTTCTAAAACAATCTATGAAGAAATTATATTGTTGATTCAGAATAAAGTACTACAACAAATTTCCAGTGAAGTGCAATCTGCTAAGTATTTTGATATAATTGTAGATTCTACGCCTGATATTGCATATATATGTCGATCAGCTTACTATAATTATCAGATATGTACGTGATAAAGGTGAAATTGTTGAAACGTTTCTAGAATGTCTACCAAACAAAGCTAAAGATATTGAAGATGCTTTTTTAAAATAATCCAAGCAATATGTCAGGTATATATTCAGGCCTTCAGACACGAATCAAAACAATTAATCCTTAAGCAAATTTGGTAGGATCATGTGCAGTTGAATCGGTAACAGAAGCAGTCACCTTCTTTTCTACTTTGCAAGAACTATGCAATTTCTTTACTATATCTACACATCGTTGGGAGATCTTGGTTCAGCGTACAAATTTAACAGTTAAAAGTCTTTCTCAAACTCGTTGGTCTGCTCGACGTAATGCATGTAACGCATTAGAAAAAGATTGGTCTACCGCAATAATTGATGCACTGGAATTTATTGCCGAAAGTAGAGATAAGAAACCAACTACGCGATCTGACGCTACGGGATTGCAGCTAAAATTACAGCATTTAGAAACGGCAATCCTAGTCATTGTTTGGAATGTAATTTTAGATCGTTTTAATGCTGTTAGTAAGAAGCTTCCAGAACCTCAAGCTGATTTATCATCTCGTTGTTCAGATCTATAGTTTTCTGGCTCTATTTCTTCAAGACATGAGAGACAGACAATTTTCTGAATATGAAGAAAAAGCCAAAGCACTATGTTTATTATCGTTATGATACTCGTCGCAAAAAACCAGAAGAATTCAGCCAGATGAGTGACGGGTAAATGAAATAACACCTTCTTCTGGACAAGAAAATTTTCGCACAAATTTTTATTACCTTATTCTAGACACTTTGAGTGTGTAATTGGCCGGGCGTAAAAGTGCATATGAAAAGCTTTACAAAAATTTCATTATAGGTACAAACAAATTAAAAAATCTTGCCAATAAACTAGTCAGTAAGTATCCTGACGATTTGGAAGAGACGTTAGTCAAAGATTCCTTAGCAAGGACAGAAGATGTACGCTATGAAAAAAACAGAAAGGAATCTAAGACAGTAAAACGGAATATATTTCCCTGTGTTGCCCATTCTTAGTTAGAGCAATAACTGACAATAAACTCTGATATAATATTTCACTTACCGAAAGTAACAGATGCGTCACAACGTGCACCACTACATAGGCTACTAAAATGTAGTCCACTTCGTCTGGTAACTGCGCTTTTGTCAATCTGACAGCAAAGAATAAGGTAACAACTAAAATAAATATAGATTATTAGTACAATTCTCTGATAACTAACGTTTTAAAAACTTACTAGCAATAATATGAGCAGCATTTCCAACTAACCAATGCCCCCAATTGAATATGGATCTTTTCGAAGTTCCTGGATGCGGCCTGAAGTAAGCTCCAATTGGTTGGAAGAAACATAAAATGGTAGTCACAGTTCCCAAAATGGCGTGTGGATTGGATTCGTTAGACCATTGTTTAAGCTCCACGAATATTAACACGAAGGCTGCCATGGTGAAAAGCCACGTTAAAACCATGAAGAATCTATGCCACTAAAATAAGAAACTACGTTTCAGATCTAGATAAAGGAAATGTATATTGTTCACCTATTATTGTAAAGAATAATCCAGAAATAAAATATTTCCTACGTAGACAAAGATAGAGATTTGAATCATATCCATGATAATTATGCATTTAATCCAAATAAAAAATAATAATAATAAATAAAAAGATTTGTACGCTACGACATGAGTGAATTTTTCCAATGCCTACTTAAGAAACGTTTATGTGGATTATTCCATACTAACCATTAGATAATGAAAGTTCAAAATGTGCATGTCATTGACCTGCTCCGTTTACACTCTCATTTACCATCTACTCCCAATTTATGAAAATTACCTTACCGCAAACCAAAGATCCTTTCCCATCAAGGTCGTGCCAACCCAGGTTTGTCTGTAGTACCTAGCCAGTAAAATACCCACTGATGCGGTACCAATCCAAGCAGTTAACATGAAAGCGCCATGGAGATGAATCAAAAGTTTAGAAGCTGCAGCAACTTCAGAAGTGTCTGACAAAGCTTGTTTCACGCCACTTGCCAAAAATGTCCCATCATGGAAGCCAACGCTGCCAGCTATAATAATAGAAAATTAAATACAGAAGAATCATATTCTATTGAAAAAATTAACAAGACATATCTGCTCACAATAACGAGAAGATATGATCGTCACAACATTTTTTCTTCAATTTTTCATTATTAAAATCATTCGTGTATATACCTATTATCAAATAGAGACTCAAATATCACTTATGATTATATAAGAAATACAAAACCACTGTGTTTTCGGTTGAAAGAATTAAATACTTACGGGTAACTTCTGATCCAGATGCTACCAGTAAATGGTAAGAGTTCTCAATTAAATTAAAAAATTCTCCATTAACATTTGTCCTTGCATTACGTCTGACATTGCAGTAAATCGTATCGTCTATTATACTCGAGTTTAGCAGTCCAATGCCCAGTTGAGGCTGAAAATGAAATACATTATTAAATATAAATGTTTATAGTCCCAAAAAATCAAATAAATCCTTAATATGAACAATTTGAGAGGTTTATAAGAAGCACCATTATAAAAATTTATATAGAACCTTCATTATACAACCTAATCAGTGATATTATTGCACAGAATTAAATAGAATAAACGGCGCTATGAAGGAGACGTGGTATAAATTAACAGTGAAGAGAAAAATTATGCACAGTGACAATGTCAAAAGAACCTAAGTGTATATTGGTCCTATTTACATGTAACACGGAAATATGAAGAATATTTGACGTATATTAACTTTGAAGAAAAAATCACGCTCAGTAGCAAAGCCAAAAGTACATACGTCTATATCTAAACTATTATTAGTGTAATTCAAACGGAAAAAGCAGCGTTTTGAAGAAGACGTGACATAGATTAAAGTTGAAGACAAGTTAGTCTCTAATTCAATTTTTCTGTGGAAATAAATGTAAAAAAATCTGCGGGAGTCTCCAAATCTGCTGGTACTGTTGGACCAGTGGTTTGTTAAAAAGGCAACTTCTTTGTAACTCTTTTAATACTCTGACTCTACTTTATCTCTATTGTTTCAATTTTTCTTTTTTTCGGTTCTGTTCACTTCGTTCTTGTTTCTCTTCTATACGATCCTTCTTCTATACGATCTTCTTCTTCTATACGATCTTGCTCTTCTATACCATCTTCCTCTTCTACACTATCTTCATCTTCCAAGTCTTTTAAATCTCCATCTTCTTCCAACCAATCTACATCATCATCACAAAATTCAACATCAGGTGCGTCAGACCTTCTGAAGGAATAATAAAGCATAAGCTTGATCACTATTTATTTTATTGATCTTCAATTTTCGACTCATTTTGAATAAATATAAAATAAAATAAAGTGTTTCTTTATCCCTAGTAGCCCTAGTGGTTTTATACGAAACCACCAATCAAAATATAAAAAAAGTATTAGAATTTCAAATATAAATGGACATTTCCTTAAAAAATCAGTAAATATGTATCAAAAACTAATAAACTCTTGACATCTTATCTGATTTTTTAAAAAGATTTCAACACAAAAAACTGAAAAGGCGTGTAAACAAAATCGCCAAAAACGCCACTCTATATGCTCACACATCAGCAACTAAAAACTAACTAAAACATACTTCGCGAATTTCTTGTTGAAGCCTGTCTAGTTGTTACTCATTTGTGTCGGTGGTTTGCGTAAATTGCGACTAGAAAGCAAGCTAAAAATGTTTAAAAAGGTGATTTCACAGTGGGACGACTAGGCCGCAAAGAATTAAAATGCCTTTCCTAACAAATGTAGATTTGGTGACTTAACACACCTTACCTCTGAGGTGCTGATATATTCGTTGCTATTGGTCCAATTGAAACAAGAAAAATGATACTATGTAGGAGACGCAACATAGAATAACATTGAAGAAGAAAATCATGCGCAATGGCAATGCCAAAAGGACCTAAGTCTATATATTCGTTGCTACTGGTGTTAAGGGATACTAATAGTAAAAATAATAGTAATATCTTACAAGAAATTCATACATGTAATAATAAATACGGTTTTTTAAAGTTTAAAGTATTATTCATACTCACATTAGTTAATCTGACAGCTCTATAAGGCTGAATCCCAGTATAAGACATGAAAGCCTGGACTCCATTGCCACCTTTGACGCATTCAATAACTGAATCATCACCCATTTTAGTATCATTGGACAATCCAACTCCAACCCATGCAACGTTTCCACTAGCCTTTAACTCAAAGTCGTATATTTCTCCAGTGACTGTAACCGCGGTTACAGCCTTGCAGTTCCTGGATGATATGCAGCCCTCCGGTGATCCGAAGCATAATTTAACATTACCGCAACCTTCGTAGAACGAGTCGAATTCTGTCGATGACTCTTTTGGAGCCGCTGGTTGGAAGTAGGGAGGAGTTGTGGTATCGGTTCTACCGGTTTCCCCTCTAGTGACGAACAGCGATTGGGAGTTCGGGGATAGAACCTGGGGGTCTGGACTGGCTAGACGGGCGAGGTCGTGGAATCCGACGCCTTCAGCTGTAAATGAAAGCAATGTTTATTAAAAATTTTCAAGATATAAATAAGGATTCCTTAAGTGTCAATTTTATATTAGATTACTGCCTAACGAGATAAAATGTATGATTAACAAATTTGAATAATGATTTTGGTCAAATAAGTTATGTATAAATATTGGAAAGATATCATTATTATAACTGGCAGAAGAAAATCATGTGGATGCTGATAATACCGATGTTCTTGTATTTTTCATTTAGCATAATATAAGAAATATTTGTTTGTAGTCATCTACGTTCAGTGATAACGTAATAATAAATCGATACATGTTCTTAGTAAAAAGGGATGCCCATGTCTTAACTGGATGCGATGACTTAAGCTCCTTATTTGGTCAAAGAAAATCGACATTTCTGGAAACATGAGAAATTTGGCATTAGCATTACTCTGTTTTGATCAGAAAATACAAAGACAAATACTCAGAATCTACTACGATATCAACTCGGAATTAAAAAAATTAAATCTAGTCTTTGTGGTAGTTCCAACCCCGGATCTAGGGGGGGGGGCAAGCTGGACCCTGTGCCCCGGGTAGCAAATTCAGAGGGCATTGTATACTACAGGATTTATTAATTGGAAAAAAGCTTATGAGAGATTAACCGAGCACTACCGTAGTTCTACCTATAACCTATTTTTCGCATAGATCTACCGTACTACACTTTTTTTACTAGTTTATTTTTGATACAGACCTCGTGCCCATGTATGTAAATTTAACACTGACCTTGCCTTTTGTTTTTAAGATAGCTATCGTGAGAATATAAAAAAAAATCAATGCTCAACATGACTAATGTTCTTTAATTAATATAAATACATTGTATTTCAGTGGATAACAATTATTTTCAATAATACGCCATGATGTTTATTGAGTAAACATAAAAAAAAATTTGCAGGCATGTTTAATAGTTCAAAAATAGAATATATCTAATAAACAGGTAAAAAATCATTATTAAGCTTAGTAATAAAGCTATATGTCATGAAAACGTGCAAATATATTAAACGGACCTTTTTCTTACCTTTCAATGAGGATCCAGAGGCAACCAAGACGTGAAAAGAGTTTCTTCTTAAATCAAATATATTTCCTTTAACATTCGTAACGGTATCCCTCCTGACTTTGCAATAAAGTTCGTCTCCATTTATGCTGCTATTCAACAGATTAATTCCATGTTTGGGCTACAAATGTTAAACAAATATCATAAGTAGTTCCAGCAGATTTTTAACATCATCAACAAGGATTTTAAATAAAAACTGATATTGCAATTATAACGAATACATAAAAGTCATTACGATTCTGATAAAAGAAGAAATAACGAAAATAAAGCTCATTAGAAGACTATGGGAGTGTAAAAGAGTCAATTATATAGTTATTAGAATAAGAAATATTTAGCTCATTGTCTTCTTCCTACATTGGTGAAATTATTTCTGTGATTAATCTTTTTAATAAAATTACTACTATTTGCTAGTTGTGCTGACGTTTCTGTTAGTCAAAGTCGAATAAATCCAGAAAGTGACAATTGGGATAAACCTCCATGCAGGCCTTGTTAAAGATTCTTCTCTAAACATATAATGACGCCATAGCCCTATGGTCTAAAAACTTTTTGTCTAAGATAAAAGTCAAATATTTTTTTATCGTTTAATGATCTGACCTCATATTTCTAGTTCAACCTTTAAAGTGTCCTGTTTTGGACTCAAATACATAGAATAACCAATTAGTCCTTGATTAATGAACCAGTTCCCTTTCCCGTTAATAATTCACTAACTGTACAATTTTATCTATTAAAATCTTCTTCATTAAGCAAATAACAGTAGTGAAACACTACCAGATGCTTCTCCTTTTTTACATAAAAAATCTATATGACTACTAAAACCAAATAATGAAAAGTATCATTTTTATATTACTTACATCTTCAAGTCTAGTCGCTCTGTAAGGATTGACTCCAGTCCAAGACATAAACGCATCGATCCTTCCACTATTATCCTTAACACACTCCACTACCGAGTCATCTCCCATCCTACTATCATCAGACAATCCTACTCCCGCCCAAACAGGATTGCCGTTGGCTTTGAGTTCGAAATCAAAAGCTTCGCCTACTGAAGTTATAGCTACAGCGACTCTACAGTTTTGCGTGTTAACACAGTCAATTGGATCACCATAACAATATTTCGTAACACCACAACCACTGTAGAAGGCGTCTTGGCGGATTGATCTTTTTTGAATTTGAATTCTTGGCGATTGGATGCCGACCCAGAAGGTGTTGTAGTGTTGGACTACTGTCGCACTGAAATTGAAATGTTTATACATTTATTTATAGTTATTTTGTTATAAATGCTGTCCCAATTCCAAATACTGATAAAGAACTTTTGTTTAATGGCAGTTAGAGAGAGTGCGGTAATATTTCTCTATACAATGACTATGTTTTATTTGCAAAAAGAGTGGAAAGCTGGCGGATAGAGTAGTTAGCAGAAATATCGACAGACCAGAAAGATAATAGAAGTATTCTAACAAAACTTACTTAAAAATAACAGTTCCTTCATATCCCACTGGAGGAACCCAAATCAGAATTAATAAATCCTTCTCATCTGGATTAGTATGAGTCACAGTATCTGCAGCCCCGCTGCAGTCGATGGTATGACCAGAAGTGCCACCGGGTAGTTGAAAAGTACCGATCACCTGTCCATTCGGGGTCCTTCCTTGGATTACGAAACCTTGAAATGGAACTCCAAGCGAGGATCCTAGAGATACCTGGACTACATCTCCCGTTTGTTTGGCGAAAACAGTGTAGGGGGATATATCGGTTTGGGGTGGGATTCCTCCACCGTGGAAAGGTCTGAGTGAGTCGCAAGCCGACGTTGGAGCGCCATTTTGCAGTGCTTGCGTCGATGAGAGAAGGAAGAGAAGGTAATAGAGTCGCATACTGTACTTCTGGAAAAAAAAAGTATATATTAGTATTGTATTTGGTATGGTATAAATAATTAGAACCGTGATAATTGTATTTGAAAACTAAGTTGGACCTTTATCTACTATAAAAAAAAATAGTACGATATACGGTATAATTACGCAAATAGTTTCAATTAACTTTTGGTCTGCAGACGCCATTCTAATGCACAAGGATACTCTGTTCTTACATTGAAAAAACATACGATTGCCAAAAGGATTTCAGCTTATACCGCCATTATTACTGGGTCGAGTTGAATGGGAAAAACAGCATTCAATGTAGAACACCATTTAGATATAATTTACAAAAAAAAATTATGATTGTTAAAATAATACAGGCGTATGTATTTGTAAAATAAAAATAAGAGACGAAATCCAGGTCAGTCTTCACAAAAAAATTAATACGTTAGCCCACCCTTACAACAACAACAACCATGAGGTCAGACTGAACACTGGCAGTCGATATCAAGAAAAATGGGCTTAAATTTGAGATTAATTTTTCTTAAATAAAAATAATTTAATAAAAATGCAGAACATGATAATTGGCCTGTTGTTTTGATGATCATATTACCATCCATGACAACCTAGAATCTTATTATAAATTTGGTCATCGGTATTTAAATATATTGGGAATTTTTTAATGTCTTTTTAATTTGTATATTTATAAATTCTACTCGTGTCTAGTGTTCAATGACGTTTCAGTTGAACTGCACTCACGCATTAGATTATTATAAACAATTTTTCATATCTAAATTTAATCTTTCCGGTGATATCACCAATGCTAATTTTTATGTAATTTGATTTTTGATAATTTACATAATTTTATATGGTGCTGCAATTTGTTGTATCGAATGCAAAATCAGGCAATTCCTAAAACATTATTTATTACATTATTTTTTTCTAAGAAGAAGCCCACTACGACCGCTTCCAACGCAAGAATTGGTATTAACACATTATGAAACTGTTTAGAGGTTACAAAATTGAGTATACACAACATTAAGTGTGATCCGAGCTGCAGTAATTCATTGGGCATCTAGGGGTGGCAGAACAGTATATATTATTTTGTTTATTAAGTATTTTTAAAAAATGTTCTAATGGAATTGTATCATCATTACAAATGTAAACAATGCAGTAAAAATACAGTAATATTAGTAGGTAATTTAAGAAAGCCTGTTAAGGAAATTCAATCTTTGAAAACTGATCATCTGGCAGTTTTGCAGTTTAAAAGAAATATTAACAGTTTTAATTTTACTTGTGACAATTGATATAAAACGTTTTATCGATTTGAAAAATAATAATATAATAAATACATTTATTCACAAAAATATTCACAAAAATATTCACAAAAATATTCACAATAATATTAACAAAAATATTTACAAAAATATTCACAGAAGTATTCACAAATACAGGGTGTCCCAATAGTGTGTGGAAGTTCTATATATCCTATATTATAGAAAATATCAAACAATGTTACTTACAAGAGTTGTAGATAATATTAATCTGCACATTTCAAATTTATTTTCGATTATACAGAGTGATCTATAACTTCAAAATTGACCAAACCTATGTTTTTTTAAATGGACCAACCTGTATTTAATTGTAAATTTGAATTCCCCTGACTTTGCTCTTCAAGAAAATACCAACATGTATGAGGTTATACTGGGTATTTTGAAAGTTTAAACCAATTTTATATGAAAATCGTACTAGGTTCAACCCTCTGTATATAAACAATCGAACATCAAAATTTTTTGATGAATCATTTTTAATGATAGTCTACTTTTATAAGAATATACTAATTTTTACTAGCGCAACAGACGTGTACAGGGTGAGTCAAAACTCAGATACATGATTTTCTTCATTTTTTTAAATGTAACACCCTGTAGTTAATATCACTACACGTTCGTTTGAGTTAAATATTGCCTATCCCTAAACACAACAGTTTAGCGAGATTCTTAGATGAAATGTTAAAAAGCGTTAATTATAACTAAATTCACAATGTAATTTGATTTAAACTCCTGTCTAACACTATGTTTACATATTTTCAAAATATTTACAGATAATTACAAAATCAAAACTATAATTTTTGTTCGTGTGCCTTTATTTTTGAAAATATCAAAAAGTTTTTCCAAATATTACGAATGGATTGCGCTTGTATACAATTTTTCTAAATAACATTTTTTGATATTTTCAAAAGTATATCATATCAACTTAAAAAAAAAACATAGTTTAGTTTTTGTAATTCCTTGTATATGTTTTCAATTATAAAAATTTGATTATTGCATTTTCTCTTTTAGATGATGGACAAACTATTATAAAGAATAGCAAATTATTACAATCCCAATATATCGAATGAAAAATAATCGTCGAAAGTTGAAATTGAACCTTACAATGATAGAAAAATATAACTAATTGAAAAATAATACATATTATGATACTACAATTGCACAATACAGTCAATATTTCTAAACGGTGTAATAAATTGTTGAAATACTGGTAATGCTTTTGAAGCTTTATTCGAAAAACTACCCAATAATTAAGTTTTTCTGATTTGTTGGTAATCCGGCTCGAAGGACCAAAAATTGCTAGAATTGCTAATAATAATAATAAAGTTTATCTTCGTTAATTTCCAATTAAGGCAGCTATATCTGAGACTCTAGCTTGCCAAAAAAAGGAACAGGTATATTAAGACAAATTGTTATTATTGGTTTACCAATAATCGTTTAATTCTTTACAGGAATTAATTTTTTGAGGATTTTTTTTTATCGATTCAATACTAGATCATCTCAAAAACCTTTTAAGCAACTTGTGATCAAAATTTAAATTTAAATACATTGAAACAAACTTTACTTTGGAAATGTCATATTTAAAATTACAATAGGACACGAAAAAATATCTTAATTTAGAATAAAAACATTTACTTATTAATAATATATTAACAACAAATTTATATATTTGAAATTATTTTAAGATCGTCTGAAAGAACTGGGTATATCCATAAAAACAGTTACAAGTTATATAGGTTATTTTGAGATACCTACTTTAGAATAATATTTTATTTACTACGTTAATATGTATAAAAATTCCTACTAAAATTTTACCGGCAATCAAGCCATCCGAAGTTATCACGCGGACACTCGTTATAAACAAAAAAATCGTAAAAAACAACACTGTTACATTTACAAATTGAACAGAAAACTCTGTCAGAATAATCACTGTATTGTTAATGTAAATATTTTTCGTATTAGGCCGAAAAGTTTTACTTTTTTTGCCACTTTATTTGTAACGCCAAATTTCTACTTTTAGAAACTTAAATTTGTTTCAAATTAAAGCTGCCACTTTATTTTAAACAATTTTCTTTAATTAGTAGATTGAATAGATCGTGGTATCATTATTTATCAACAAACCTTATTAGTAGCGCCAAATTTTAAAAGTTTCGACATTTCAGACATTTAATTTGTTTCAAATTAACGCTGCCACTTTATATTAAACAATTTTTCTTCAATTAGTAGATTGAATAGACCGTGGCGTCATTATTTATCCGCAGAATACACAGTCACCGGCCTTAGGCACTTACTTTTTTTGCACTTTCAGAAAACAAGAACACTTGTTGGTGAACCACGCAACCTGAACACAACCGACTGGACTGAAAGAATCGATCTCTTGAGGTCAGACTGTAAAAAGAAACTTCCACTACAGAGGAGTACAGAATGACTAATACCTACATTAAATAAACGACAAATTTTACACACTCGCTGATTGTAGGGAATTCCGTTTTGTAGGTAGGTCTGTATCGGAATTGAGATGACTGCGGATAATTGTTGACCGTGAAGTGGTCAGATTTACATATTTTCCAAGAATGTTTTCGCTATTAATTATTTTATTAACAGAGTAATGCATTTTTTTTTTCTTAAATTTTCTTTGGTACAAATTATCTTTTACCACAGCATAGTCATATTCCATATCCTTTTTTAGTGATCAATTCCCAATTTATCAAAAAGAAACGCTTACGGAATCATTTTGGTCTTTATCTTTTGTTGCCGAGGGGGCAACTAGAGCAATTTACCCCAGAGCTTCAACCTAAAGGGGCCTCAAAATGGCTTTTGCATGACGATTCATCACTTCAACGAATTAATAATCCTAAATCCAATCGATTTTTTGTATTCGAATCAAATCAAAATTGATTGATGTGCGTAAAAAAAATTACGTTATATTAATGAAATATTATTTACGTAATAAAATATTTGTTTATATAACCTATGATTGTAAATAAGTATTCAGCTAGTTGATACAGGCTAAACATGTAAACAAACAAACAAACAAACAAACAAACAAACAAACAAACAAACAAACAAACAAACAAACAAACAAACAAACAAACAAACAAACAAACAAACAAACAAACAAACAAACAAACAAACAAACAAACAAACAAACAAACAAACAAACAAACAAACAAACAAACAAACAAACAAACAAACAAACAAACAAATATTAAAATAAAGCCAAAAATGCCGATAAGTGCCTAGACACTTGTTTCGGTTAAAATACAAAATATATAAATAATATGAAATAAATCTTACAATTTACAACCATATAAAATTTACAACAGAATGTACACATATATAAACAATAGTAAAATTTACAAATACATATACAAATCTAATAATTATTTAAAAAAAAGAAAAAAAAGACAACGTAACACTAAATTATTATCAATATTTTTAATAATTATTTAGTTTTTAAAAAGATTATTAATAATAAACCTATTAGTATCAATAATAAAGTGTTTTAGATGTCTTTTGAAGCCACAAATACTTCTAATAGTTTTTAAAGTTTCTGGTATAGCGTTGTATAGTTTTGGTGCTATAAACAGATTTGTTCATAAATGGAAGTGGTTTTTATGGCGAGTGTTATATTGGTGAGATGGAAGTGTTGCTTGTTGTTTATTAAGGTGATATCTAACACACGAACACAAATAGTATAAT